GGACAAAGCAGCACTTAAACGTGCTTTTAATATAACTAACCAAAAAAAAGAAAGGGAAAAGAAAGAAACAAAAAATCGAAAAAAAGAAAGGAAAACTACCTCAACTAGAATTACGGTCCTTTGGCTAGAGTTTGGAGGAAATTCCAAGCTTCAGTTGTCCAACCGATAGCTGCCTCCCTTTTTGTGTTTGATTTTGTGGAAGAAAAATGGGTAGAGGGAGCCGAGAGGTCCAAAAGAAAATTTCAGTGGAGTTTTTTGTTTTTTTGTTTGGTTTTTGTTCTTGTCTGTTACTCCTAAGAGCTAGCCGAGAGAGGGAGGGAAAAGATTATTTTTTTTTGTGGCTTGTCTATTGGTGGGCCAAGAAAAGAGCCGAAAATGAGAGGAATTCTTCTTTGAGAGAAAAGTTGCTAATTTTTGTCTTCGGAAGAAGCCCAGAGAACCGAGAGGGACTTGGGAGGATGAGGAGTGCTTTTTTTTCTTAGTTGTCTGACTTCCTGTGTGTGTGTGAGAGCCAAGAGATTGTATTGAGAGAAAAGGTGGGGAGTTGGTTTGTTTTCTTGTAAAAAAATGGTGGTCTTTGAAAGAAGCATGGCAATTGAGTGTGAAATGGGTTAAGTGTATTTGGTGGAAAAAATGATAGGATGATTTGATTTCTTGATTTTCTTTTTTTTTTTTTGTTGCTATTTTGCATTGTTTTGTTTTTTTTTTTTTTGTGTTTTTTTCTTTTTCTAAAACAAACCTGCAAAATGAAAAAACATACATTAAAATGCAAAAAATAAATAATTTATTAAATTCAAAAATTCAAAAAATATTAAAAATTGACAAAAATTTGGTGTCTACACTCATAAAACTTATCAAAATTTTTAAATTATACACTCCAAAATATTCAAAAATTTACACACTTTAAAAAATTTTCTTACAACATCTACAGTAAATTACAATAAAATTTTAGACAAACACCCGAAAAACTCATTTACCAAACGAGACCTAATCCTTTCCGTGGTAGTTGGTTTGAAGTGGACATTCGATTGGACCGAATTTGGATTGTGTTTATCGCTGCCGCAGCTTGTGGGGCCCGCCTTCTTATAATAAGAAGCTCAGGTGGATTGGGGCTTTAGGGTTTTAGATTTATAGCCGACGTCCTTTAAAATAAATAAATAAAAGATTTATAGCCGACAGAGATGGAACGTCATAGGAGCGCTGGTGCTGGTTGGGTGCATTATAGTTTAGGTTAATTGCATTTACCTCCCCGGAGGTTTGGCCAAATTTCAAGTTAGTCCTTTAGGTTTAACCAAACTACGAAAAACTCCCTGAAATTCAAAACTTCATATTAAAAAATGCGCCCTGCTATAGCAAATTAACGTTGACCTCCTAAGTTTGGCGAATTTCTCGAAATAATATTGATATACGAAAAAATCACAAATATAGTATTTTGTGGGATTTGTTTCTGAAATAAGGGTCGTCGTACCTGAGAAAATCGGCGCACAAAAATTCTAATTTATTTTTGAATTTTTTTCAACGGCTTAAAAAATTTTTAAGTTAAGATTTTGGGTTGAATATTTTAATTTAGTCGCAAATCTAATATGAGGCAAAAGCTATGTACCATTGATTAAAATGTTGATCAACAGTCGTGATTTGAAAAAAAAATTTAATTCTATTGCCCCAAACAAAATTTGCGGCAAACGAAATTTATTTGAAAATTTTTTTTTTAGAAGTCGCACATTAAATTTGCAGCGAAAGCGGATGTTTGAAATTTTTTTGAGAAACCACAGATCCCATGTGCGGCAAAGCTTTGGACAACATGACTTGATGGCATTATTTTTCTTCGCTACAAATTATTTTTTTTAAATATAGCAGGTGATCAACGGTCATGATTTGATGGGCAATTTTTTTTTCCTTTGTCGCAAATTTAATTTGCGGCGATATATTTTTTTAAATGCCGCAGCTCTTGATCATTGATCATGGTGATCAACGGTCATGATTTGATGGGCAATATTTTTTTTCCTTCACTGCAAATTAAATTTGCGGTGACAGAAATTGTTTTTTATTACTTGCAAGACATAGAGGGTACGAGTCATTTGGGGCAACCCCACACTTACTTGTTTATACTCCTGGCTGTATAAAGCTTCGTACGCGATCACAAGCTGCACTGTTGCCCTATATATACTTCTACAGGTATGAATGGAACAACTTTGGGATGCTTGAGCATCCTTATTTCATTTGAATGCATAATTAATATGACGTTCACAATGCTTATATTTTTAACAGTTATGAGAGTGGGAAATGATGCCCAGGATTCGCCTGACTATGGTGGTTCCAGCTGCATAGGGAAATGATTTTCCCAGAGGCGGTCGTTGGGCAAGTGACTGTACGATAAAATATTAGGGTTTTAGTGTTAGGATTTAGGAATTAGTGTTTTAGGGTTAATGGGCAAAATCGACGTGATTTCATTTTTTTAAATAAAAAAATTTAAAGCTTCGTCACACATTTGAGGTGCAGCGAACCCTTTAACAAAAATAATTTTGCTTTGCCGCACCTTTTTTAAAAATATATATATATATCGCTTCATTTACTTTCTAGGGAGGAAAAAAAATGAAATTTAAATCAATTTTTTTTTTTTGAAAACCTCCTTTACCATTTGTAACGACCCTTAAATTAGAACTCAATCCCAAACTACCCCACTTTTGTGATATTTTCTTCTTTTAACATTATTCTTAGAAATTCGCCCCTAAGTTTGAACGATCTCAACACAAAGTTATGACAGATTCCCCAAAATGCCCATCAAAGCTCTTCCTCGTCTTCTTCCCCCTTCCCTACTCCCTAGCAAACAACACCAATACCACGAGGTCCACGACTAATAGCAAAGATTTCAGCACTATTTTTTTTTGGGGGGCAAAGAAGCACAAAAGCTGCAAGTATTGGTATTAAGCTTCAAAGTTTTAATCTTTCATGGAACTTAAGATAACGAAAACACTAACAATTAACCCCACAAAACAAGTTGAATGTACATGAGCTTTTATTCTAATGTTTAGGTGATAATTTTAATGAAATTCTACCAAATTTGGATAGAGTTTTGAACAAATAAAAAGTAGGGGAAAAAACCGAGTGGAAAGAAAGAAAAGCCATTGAAAAAGATGATGACCAGTCACTTTGGTAGCTTTTTTCAAATTTTTTTATCATTTTCTTTCACCTTTTTCCTTTTCATTTTCTTGGTATTAAATAGTTTGTTTATAGTCCTGTTTTCTTTCTTCAGTGCTTGTTTCAAGACATTCAATTTTCCATTGGTTTTAACATTTATTTTTTGTTTTTATTTTTCTCAATTAGTTTTACTCCATTTATCTTTCTTACTAATTTTGGAGTTTTGTCTCATTCCTTGACTTAATTTTCATTTTTTGTTCTATAAATGCTCTTTTATTGAGTTTTTCATTTTATTTGTGGAATCTTTGAACTATGCCTTTTTGTCATTTCTCAATACACACTAACGGAGTTAAACAACAGTCAATGACAAAGGGGTGATTGTAATTTGGCTAAATCATAAGGCTTGTTACGTAATATGGACAAACCTCGAGGGAGGTAGATGTAATAGGCAGCAAAAAACAATAATTTATTTTTTTCCCCAAACTGGATAACACACAAAAATGCCAGTATTAGTATCACGGAGCATTATAAATATCACTTACTTTCCCTTATTTTAAAACTTTTGTAACATTGTTTATTAACCCAACTCAGAATATTAATATTGAAAAACTATTTTTGTTTGGAAGTGCATAGATAATTTTTGTTTCAAAATTGCCCTTTGTTGTGCTAATGCTCATGGCAAATCAATTTAAAATCCCTCAACATTTGAAAATTTACCAATTTACTTCCTTAGTGGAAAATTTTAAGTTTATATCGAGGTTAGGAAATCGTTTTACGTACTTTTATTTTATAATTTGGACAAGATATATTAAAAATTTTGCAACTTATGAATAATTTACAAAACACATAAAAATCATTCATTAATTTTTTGGGGACATCTTGAGAGCATTTTCATACCTACTGTTTTAGCCAGGCGAATTTCTCGAAATAATGCGAAAAGGAGAAAATATCACAAAAGTAATGCTGGGCTCGCTTCTATATTAAACTTTTTTCATTTTCACAAAAAGTTTTGCCACAAATGGAGAATGAGGCCAAGAAAAAAAAAAATTTTAATTGCCGCAAATTACATTTGCGGTGAAGCATGAAATATTTTTAAATTTTTTTTTTTGGAGAAACCGCCATTTGTGTCCATTTGTCTTATCATCAGTTGTAGTTTTCCCATGCTCTGGTTGCATTCAACATGAAGATAATTATATAAATATTCATGTATTTTTTTTTGTCAGCAACGAAGGGGAAGCCTAAAGAAGCTGTGGTAGAGTCTGGTTGCATTCAACATGAAGATAATTATATAAATATTCATGTATTATTTTTTTTTGTCAGCAACGATACATTTGTATAACCTATTCTATCCTAATCTATAGGGAGGGGGAGCCCAAAGAAGCTGTGGTAGGGGCTAATGAGTATGCAGACCCAACTAGACCAAGAGAGTGCTATGACACAACCCTTAAATTTTTTTTCGCTGCAGGTGAGGTTTGAACCCTCACCTACAGCCCAAGGAGGGACTTAAGTCCCTCCCTGGTGGCCGCTAAGCCATTGGCCCAGTGGTTCATGTATTATTTCCCATGATGCTGTTCATGACATGTTAAATTTAAGCAGAAGCGTTTGAGTCCTCTGCTAGTTGCAATTATTACTTTTTGCTGGAATTGATCATTTTGTACGAGACAAAGTGGTGGCATCTAGCCTTATAATAGAGGATTTTGCAGCTGATGGTCTTTCATTACACCATAATTGCTGACCTCATACAGTTGCAAAATCTATGTAATATGTATCTCGATCCCGTTAATCTTGTGCAATGTGCTCATCTTGGACTGATAGTAATGCAAAAAAAGGCTTTCGAGACATTACAATACTTGAATCAAGAAATGCGGATGGCAGTTAGCCCATTCGACCGTCAAGACGTTGGCCCATCTAGCTCTCGTACTGTTCCTTTCGAGATGTCTGTTGTGGATTTAGCTAAGCAGATACATGATAGAAAACATGAAGGTAAGTGTTGCAGATGGGCATATCCACACATGTTGTTCATGTATTCGACATATTTAATTTTCAATATGTCTTGCCTGGCATTAAAACCAAAAATTTCGAAAATGGATGATTTGGGCATATTTAATTTTCAATTCATTTTATATTTTCAACCAAAAGGAAGCTGAAAGCATTTTTATAGGATGATTAATCACCATTTATGAAATTAACACAATTTTTGTAGTTAAATTAAAGGGATAATTTCACAAACCTCCCCTGAGGTATTTAATAATTACAGAGAGCTCCCCTCAAATTTTAAAAATTACATATACCTCCCCGACTTTTACTGTTTATATAACAATATAAGTCCAACAAGGAAGATTTTCTCTTAAAAATCCTAAATTACCCTTTTGTACAAAACTAAGAAAGCAAAATATAGTATGTTTAATCATTTTCTTCCATACTTTGCACAAATCAACAAACCTAATCTCTAACAACCATCCATGTATAAGTTTCAAATCCAAATAACCATAAAAAAGATTCCAAGTTGCATATATAGCATCAACTTACTACGTAAAACAAAAAAAACACTCATACACACACACACACATACCTCCCATTATCTCAATGCTCAAATACCTTTTCAAGACAAGCTAATCTGACCTAGAACGACCATTACAACCTTCTTATGGTCTTAAAAATATTAATATTTTAAAAGTAAATAATAAATTCTACCTCGACAATAAAATCATAACAAAAAATTTCCAATCTAATGAAAGAAATCCTTATGTAATTATTGACATTTTATAAAAAAATTTCATGGCAACAAACAAAATATGACAAATTTCACATCTCTAGTTCTTCTTCCTATTTCAATCATAAATTTCATTATTTATTTCTCTATCATTGCGAAAATAGACAACAGACAGAAAAATATTTTGTTTTTGGATTTTGTAAATCTATTGCCTTAAATTTAGAATTGTCTACCAAGTAGAGGGTATTATAGGTATTTTATTACGTCAAGGGAGGTAAGTGTAATTTCTTAAACTTAAGGGGAGCCGAGTGAAATTGTAAGAAACCTCAAGGGAGGTTTATGAAATTATCCCTAAATTAAATTTGTAGCTTTTAGGGTTAGGATTTACGTATTAGGGTTTTATTGTGAGGGTTTAGGGATTATTGTTTTAGGGTTGGGGTTTGCAGGCAAAATTATCACAATTCCATATTTAAAAAAAATTTTGATTCGCCGCCCATTTGAGGTGCGGCGAATCCTTTAAAAAAAATTATTTGATTCACCGCCCTTTTGAGGTGTGGCGAAACCTTGTAAAATATATTTTTAAAAAATCCAGTCCTTTTACTTCCTTGGCGACGAAAAAAATGAAATTGAAATCAATTTTTTTTTTGAAACCTAGTTTTCCATTTGCAACGAACCTTAAAAACAAAATCAATCCTACTTTTGTGATATTTTCTTATTTTAAAATTATTCTAAGAAATTCGCCGGCATAAGCCGGATCAATAGCTTTTAGTCCAGGACACTCAAGAAGTGAAAGACCTGCCAGAAAACAAAAGTTTCCGAGACTAAATCACCAGAAAATGAACCATAAAAAGAAAGAAAGATAGATCAGCTAATACTGCCAATAGGTAGGGGTGAGCAATTACGGTAATTACCGATTTACCGACCGAAATCGATTTCAATTTGGTAATTCGAATTCGGTAATTCGGTAATTTGATCGGTAAAGGGGATATCATATTAGGTAAAATCGAATTAGGGTTGAAAATGGTTTTATAGTTTTTCATTTCGGATTTACCGAATTCGAATTCATTTCGGTAAAACGGTAATAATTTACCGTTTTCAATTTCGAAATTCCCGAATTAAGTTACATAGGAAATAATACATTATGTCCGGATATTGGTCCAATTTCAGATTTTCAGACGCGGTGCCCTAAACTAGCTACTTTTCTCCAGTCCTCTTCATCCCCTCTTCCTCTCGTTCCTCTGCACTGCCGCGACGCCGTCCCCTCTTCCTCTTCCTCTCGTTTCTCCTCTCCTCATTCTCCTCAGTTCTCTCCTCTGTCAGTCCTCTCCTCTCCTCAAGGACCTCAACTATAGAAAGCTCAAAGCTCACCCCTAGACTCTTTCTCTGTTTCCCATTCTGACCGAGGCTTCACTATTGCTGATCGAGCATCCACCATTGCTGACCGAGCATCCACCATCACCAGGACCACGGTTCGCTAATGCTGATTCCGGTGAAGGTAAGTTAAGTGCTTCACTTTGTAGATTAATAAGTTGCCATAATTTCGAAATTTATTTGATTTGAAACATGTGTAATTTTGGGTTTGGTTGAAAAATGTTTGATTGGTGTGAAGCTGAGGCTTTTAAAATTAAATTTGCTACTTCTTATTCAACATGAAGTTGCCAAAGTGGTGTCTGAGGAGATTGAGTTACACTGTTTTACTTTCCATCCGATTTACACTGTTTTACTTTCCATCCGATTTACACTGTTTTACTTTCCATCTGATTTACTTTCCATCTGATTCAACATGACTAAAGCATTCTGATTTACTTTCCATCTCCATTTCAATGACTAATTGATGGAGGTAAGAATCAAACAAAAGGAATAGCAATCAGAATTGCTCTTTTGACATTATGAGTCCCGTTTCTTGAGTTCTTGAAGATTTGCAATTAAGTCTCTTAAATCTGTACTTTCGTCTCCAATTTACATAAATAGGCATGTTGTACTGTTCTCAGGCTGCATGTTAGTCAAGACGTAGAATTCTCCATGGTTTGGTAAGCCAAGCATTTGAATGCGAGGGCTTAAATTTGGGATGATTGTGAACAATGAACCTGTATATATAGTTAGGAAAGTGTATTAATAGGTCCAAATTATGTCTTTCCTTCTAGTTTGAAAGCAGAAAAATGATAATTGTTAATCAGGAACTAATAGGCCTCCTCAACTAAATTGACCAATTATTATTATACTTGTAGCATTTCTCACGAAATAGTGATTATAAGTTTCCTCTCCATTTTCAATTTTGAGAGGAAATGTTGTCCTGAGTTGGTTCTTCAATTTCATCTAGTCTTTTATTTCAATTTTATTGCTAACTGATTGTTGCACTAAATTGTATAATTTATTTGCTCAGATTTTCAAAAAATTTGAGGTATGTCTACTACTGATGATGGTGAGAGTAATCCAAGTCGCAATGAGCTGGAACAAGAAGGATCATCTGGACCTCTTCTTCCTAGTCCTACAACACAAAGTTGTGAAGAATCTGGTCTTGTCAAGAAAAGAGGAGAGTACAAGAAGAGGTCCAAGCTTGGGATCATTTTCATGTAAAGCATGTGAATGGAGTTCGTCATGCAATTTGTAAATACTGTGAGAAGGACATAGCTGCAGATCCCAAAAGTCATGGTACAACTCCCCTTAATACTCATGTAGCTAAATGTCCTCTAAATCCTAAAAATAAGCACACTGGCCAGGCTACTTTGTGTTTGGGTGAAACTGAAACATTAGAGGAGAGGTTAAAGGGGCACTCATAAGTTGGAAATTTGATGCAGAAGCCATTAGAAAAAGCATAGCTGATATGGTAATTGTTGATGAGTTGCCATTTAAACATGTAGAGGGTAGAGGTTTTCAATACATGATGCGGACTGCTTGTCCATCATTTAAGCAGCTGTCTCTGTTATTGTAGTTTAGTATAAAATTAATTCCTTTTTTATTTTAATCTGACTTTGACACTAATATTTGTTTCTCTTCAGGAGGATGAGAGTTCTCTTCTGCGTTTTCTACAGTGTAAGTTTGGTAAAGGACGATCAAGTGGCCCTGAATTTTTTTATGATCCCAAGTATGCGTTGCGCCTTTGTCTTAAGGAAAAGAGAATGCGTGCATGTGTTCACATATATAGCATGATGTCCATGCATGAAGAAGCGGTTGCTCTCGCACTGCAGGTAAAGCTCAAATTGATCGTGATGATTGGTTTTGTATTCTTTGTCCTTGTAAGAGCACATAACTTGTGTTATCAGAGCTCAAGTTTTTAATGCCCAGTGAAAGATAGTGCATAGCTAGTGTATTATCAGATTTTAAAGCAAAATGTAAGTACTTATCAAAAATATCAAACTTTTAAAATGGATAGTACAATGTAAACATTTCCAAGTAATGGAATTTAGTGACAAAAAAAAGTCAAATTCTAACAAAAACATTTTCTTGTGTTTGGTTTTGGAAGGAAACAGGGAAGATGAATAACAATGCAAGTAACTTTGCTAGGATTTACACATTGATTATCTAAGTAACTTGTGAATGCTTGCATTCACACATTGATTATCTTACTTTGCTAGCAGGATTCAACTATTATTCATTGTTGTACTTTTATCTGCTCCTCATTTAGGGTGGATTACAAAATGCACCTAAAAAATTACATCTCACTTTGCCCTGTATTTTCTAGATGAATCAATCTCCCCTATTTTCCCAACAAAACAAAATCAACCTAAGAAGCCAATAGTAAATATGTATTTTCATGTGAGATGTAATTAATATACCAATTAGCCTGTGGTAAAAAATTTTCACAGTATATCGTAGGCTTTGGAGTTCTGTAAACATTTTGTTTTTCAAGTTCTGTGGTGCATATATATGCTGGTGATTATGACTGGAAAACATTTATAGCTTTGGGTCAATAGTCGTTTTCACCAAAGGTGCAGTTGTCTGTTTTTCTGGTTCAACATCTGCATTCTTCCCACGATGTTAGATGCTATTTGGGCTTTTTGGGTTGATTGTAGCATTGATTGGGGGGTAATTGTCCAATTGAATGATGACGGCAAGTTGGTAAACAAGTACTTTTAGCATGAGAAAAACCATGACAGATAAATTTTTCATCAATCTCTTTTTTAACTTTTTGTTCAACATTTTAGAACCGAAATGATGCCTTGAGTGTTTGGAGTTTGAATTTTATGCAAATTGCTTGAACATGTTGTCTTGATACAGGAAAGACCAGAGTACATAAAAAGTACATATGTATTTCAAGATGATAAAAGAATTTGTTCATCTCCAGTTTTGAGATCAGCATATATTTGAAATACTACTTTCTGTAATCTTGGAGTTTTCCTAATTTTAATAGGTTGATCCAGAGCTAGCTATGGCTGAAGCTGACAAAGTTGAAGATGATGAAGAGTTAAGGAAGAAACTATGGCTTATGGTGGCCAAGCATGTCATAGAGCAGGAAAAGGGAACAAAAAGGGAAAATATTCGGAAGGCAATAGCTTTTCTCAAAGAGACGGACGGACTATTAAAGATAGAGGACATCTTACCCTTTTTCCCAGACTTTGCTTTGATTGATGACTTCAAGGTATGCCCTTGATTGTTGACTACTAAAATGCTGAGGAGTAGTTTTTTTTATTATATATACATTTGTATTCAAATGTTCATGCACTTGCTATATCTTTGCATGTCCATGCAGGAGATGAGAAAATACAAAAACCATTGTAAACTTTTTAAATAATTAATCTCAACTTTCAGAATTTTCTACTTTTTCATCGTAGTTTTGAGAGGATGTATATGTATTAACACTATCGATGTCATCCAAGTGATAGTTTGTTTCTTTGTCTCACTTCTTACCCTTGTTATTTCCTTTCTGCTTTTTACATGTTCTCTTGCTCCTACTCTTATTGGTTGAGGCAAGCTTAATGTTGTCTACAATTGCTGCACTAAATTACCTCAAACAACATTGCAGGAGGCAATATGCTCATCCTTGGAGGACTACAATGAACAAATTGAAAATTTGAAGCAGGAGATGAATGATGCAACTCATGGTGCTGATAATATACGGAATGATATAAGTGCACTTGCTCAACGGTATGCAGTCATAGATCGTGATGAGGAATGTGGGGTAAGATCTTCTGATTAAGATGCTTTTCCATCTAAAGTTTCTTAGCATACGAATTGCTGCTGTCATGCTTAAAGTTCTTCAGGCATGTTCTTTTTCTCCATCCATTGTATGCTTGCACTTATTCCCAGTTGCTGGCCATCAGGTTTGCAGAAAGAAAATCTTGAATGTAGGTCGGGACTATCAGATGTCTTGGGGTTACACATCAGCTGGATCTATGGCCCCTTTCTATGTCTTTCCTTGTGGACATGCATTTCATGCTCAGTGCTTGATTACTCATGTGACTGGTTGCACTAGTCAAATGCAAGTACGACCTGGAATACTTTGCTTCTTTTTGTTTTACTTTTATTTAAAGTAACCATCACTCTGGATACTTCTTGTGTACTGTGCAAATGTCGGTATATTAAGTGTTTTTGATACTCTGTTTATTTTTCTTGCTACTATGAAACTTTTCCTAAACTGGATAAGAGCATATATATGGTAGTGATACTGCAGCTAGCATATTGACGTTCTTTTTTTTTTTTGGGTAATATAAAAGCTGACATCTGTGTTATATTTGCCAAATGTTTCTTCCCTCAAAATGATACTGCAGGCGGAATATATATTGGATCTGCAAAAGCAACTTACATTACTAAGTAATGAACCCCGGAAGGACTCAAGTGGTGGATTATCTGAAGAGGAACCATTAACAAGCATGACTCCTTTAGAAAAGGTGATCCTTTTGATCTATGGGCTTCTCTTGTATAATAATAGAGTCATAAACGGGTAGCTTTTGTATTGGGTGGTCGTTTGCATTTTCTCCATGTCTGCTAAGTCTTGTTTCCAGTTTGGAGAAGATTTAAGGAACTTTCTGTTGTTTCTAGCATGTTGATTTCTTTAGGACATCTTTTCAGCCTTGTATGTTTTCTATTCATATTGTTTCTTTCAGTTGTTATAATTGAAACCTTCTGCTGAAATATTTTTCAGATCCGATCACAACTGGATGATGCTATAGCCAGTGAATGCCCATTTTGTGGTGACCTAATGATCCGGGAGATATCTTTGCCTTTCATTCTTCCTGAGGAGGCAGATGTAGCAGCATCATGGGAGATCAAACCGCATAATGCTGGAATGCAGAAGAGTCTTTCCCTACCAGCATATTAGGTTGTACATACGAGCTTCTATAGGCAAGCGTGTATTTTGAAACTGTAGTTTGTGATTGTGTACCACCTGATGATTCACCACTCCATCTTTACTACTGATGACACTTTTGCAATCTCTTCTATATCAAGATCCAGTTTTGATCAAGGTATCGTTGACATTCTTTGAAATGCTTTACTGAGTGTTTATCATATCGTGCACTAAGTTAAACTGGTTTGGTTGTACATCTTACAACAAATTTTTTTTGGAACTTTAAGTAAGCTGGAACATTCAATTCATCTCATCCACCGCCTACATTCTATCTTCAGCTGTTTCTGAAAACTGACTGCATCAATTTCTATGCTATTTGTGCAAGATCGATATGGTTGTTTGCTTGCCATTTTCTCTTGTTCAAAAGACCACGTACAGGGAAATAGAGGATGATTAGAAAAAGACAGGCAATGCACTTTTGCGGGCACAAAAAATGGGCAGAATGGAAAATTAAGTATGCACAGGACCTTGCCAGTTGCTGCAGATCAGTTGACACCCTTCAAATTATTACCACAAATAATGCATAAACAAACTGCTCCCAGCAGCACAAGCAATCAAATCTTTGTTGGGATGCCAAGCCAGATGCAGCAACTTAGCGTTCAAGTTACAATAGTACTCGTTATTTTCTGAATTTAGATTTTCTTGCCCTGCAGTTGCCAAGAAAAGCAATTAGGTGAAGGTGAGTGGAGACAAAGATTAACGGAGAGAGAGAGGGAGAGAGGGTCAACCATGTCGGGAAAATGCACGAGTCAGATTACTCAGAGATCTTCTACGAGCTCTCGTATTAGCGTGCATGAGTGGCTTCCTACATGACAAAAGGCAATAACAAAAATCAAACGTTTTCATGGTGGGGGCAAAATAAAACTCACACGAGGCATTAGAAGGAAGGATACCTATTTGGATTTTTGCTAGCTTCAAATGTGATATCTTCTACACCTCCTCCGTGAGAAAAAATATGCACTTGGTTGCTGAAGATAGCATAAAGCTTAATAAGAACATGCGCAACCAATACAAGAAAAAAGCAATAGGCTGATAACTGTTGAAAATAGAATCTTTGATGTCCACAGGCAGCAAGTCTTTGGGACAAGCACAAACCTATATGATCCAGTTGCAAACTGAAGTCCATCTCCTCTGAGACAGCAAGCAAATTTATCAAATATGGCGTCGTTGTTATACAGATCAGACAGCTGTGCAATGTGCAGCCGGATGTCAGCCAGTGGAAGTGAAATGAATTGCAAAAGAAACACTAATATCAGGTATAAAAATTGAGGCGACTCCATATAAAATCGTACTAGTTGTCTTGAGATTGTACTCATCCAAAAGCAAATGCCAAATTTACAGAACAAAGATTCCCTTAATTTGAAAATGCTCCTAGAACCACCTGATTCTTCTTGTTATTTAGTTTTGGCACATTCATTCTGCCTATGAATTGTGGGTTCAACAAATTTTCACCTTAGACAAGTAAAATTTCCTGTTGAGCAAGGTCCTACAGGGGCTTTATTTTTTTGTTTTTTGTTTTTGGATCCCAACAGGGACTTGCCTACATTCATGGATCAACAAATTGTGTCTTTCCATGCTGTTGCAGTTTAAACATGATGCATTGGATCAGAACAGGCAAATACATATTTGCTGGTTTTAACTGGTAAGATACCATGGAGAAGAGGAGTAGGTAATCCTAGCCGAATTACTAAGTTTGAGATTTGGTTCAGTAAGAACGAAAAAGCCTTTTTCAGGTGGTAGTAAATAAGAAACTTGAAATCATATCACATGAAAAGATTAGCAGTTGAGAAGCTAAAAGACTTTCAGAAATTAATATGGCAACTTTGGAGGAGAGCTTAAGCCAGATAAGTGCGTTCAGTCCCATATGCAATGGGTTGAACCAACCAAAGAAGCTGACATTGTACGCAAAATTTCATCTCCCTGTTCTATCAGTATAATCATGCTGGGTTATCAAACAAAAGGTGTTCTAGAAATCAAGAGTTTATGAAATTTTATACAAAACCATCCAGGTAGCCCACCGTAAATCTATCCCCTGGCGAAAGGGAATGTTGCATACCTTGGGCCGAAGATGCTCATGAATCTTGTATGTTGCAACTGGAGAATTCTCCATATGTATATCCCACAGCTGAAAAGTATCAAGCTAAGATATTACGAAGCTAACCAAACTTCTTCTCTCTGTTCTTATTATCACTGTAATCACATGAAAAGAAAAACTACATTCACACAGACATGATGACATCAAGTAATATAAAAACATAATATAAAACATGATTAACATCTGGGAAGAGACTTCACTTCCAGTGGTTGTCATGGAAAAACTACTGGAAGGGAAGTATGAAATGTTAAAGATCCAAACTATGCTACTCTGTTCATGTTACAGGGACTAGGATGAGGTAACTTCATTCTCAAACTACAAAGATGAAAAGGTCTACTTGGTTGGAGGCTTAGCCATGTAAAAAGTTAAGAAAACTAGCAGCAAAAAAATCACCCGTTTTCTTGATAGTGGAAACAAATTTAAGATCTCAATTTTAACCATATAAATTTAAACAAAAAAAATCGCAATTTATTATTTGTTCCTGAAGCATCCATTCTCATTTCCAAGCTGTCATATAGGAGTAAGTTTTCTTCTCTTCTTTTTCTCGTAAGTTTCCACTTATCTCACTTTCTCTCCTGTCTCCTAAATTAGGCCTTTTGTCAGTTTAATTGACAGACCTTTAGGCTCATGTAATCACGACTTAAGATGTGTCTTCCATTAGATGCAAACTTCAAATCTGATATTGATGCAACGATCTCTGTAAAAAATGATTTGGACCCATTGGATGCTCCATCATGCAATCTGTAAAACAGATACTCGAGCTTTATATTTTGGAAGGAGATTGCAGATTTATGAAGCATTCTGAACTCAAAGAAATGAGATAGAGAAACAAAATGCTCACATCCTTGAACTTTGATCACATATCGCTGACTTTCTCATGTCTACTAGCCGGATATATCCCCTTGAACTACTGTAAGCGAGCAGATTACAGTGAAATGGATGGAATTCTGCTGATGTAATTACCTCTAGACAAAGGTCAGAAAATCCATCATGCTTTTGTTTTCCATTGGACAATGATGTAAGTAGGAAAGTAGCTAGATGGTATTGAAGTCCTTAGTTATTTCATCAAGGAACCAAGTTAGAAGACCACCTATAAATTCACATCCAGGATGATTTTTCTAATGACAGATAGGCAGGCAGAAAAATGAGCTAATGTACTTACATTGTGTTGCTTTTTTTCTTATAAGATCATTCTCTTGATAATGCTACATTCTGAATGTGAAAGACAACAACTTGGCATATGTCAATTTGTCAAAGAACATGTGTTTGTCATTACTTCAGACACATGGGATGCTCACGAGCTTTACCATAATTAAAATTTTTTTTCTATAGGTAAAATTGTAATTATATTACCAAAAAGAAGGCAAATAAGAAGCTCATATCAAGAAGTCTAAGAAGTCAAAACAGACAGAAAGTCCACCCATTGTCATGAGTAGAAGGTACGGATTAGTTACCCCCAAAAAATTGAAAACTGTCTCTGTAGTCTTCCATACAGAAATATTCTCTATGCCATCAAATGCTCATTTAGCTTTCATTTTACAGACTGACATCAAAGTCAGGGTTGCTACTCTAGTAATCTTGTCATCATGTGAATATTAATACCCGCTTGCAATTGTGATTTTACATCAGCTGAAAATGATTATGATTTTATCCATTACCCTAGCATATTTTGACAGATCCTTCCATCTTCTAGATTTTTAGCAGTCAGAATGGAGTTCCAGGCAGTAAACCAAGTAAAGAAGCAACTAATTTTTGTGCACTAAAGTTCCATACTACTGTAGAAGGAAATGAAAATCCACACCATTTCTCAGCGTGTGACACCAAGCCTTTTTACTTGAATAGTTTCTCCATTTCCATATTGGTTCCTTATAGTACAGCAATTTTAGAGCAGTTTAGAACATGAAGACAGTAAATTGATGTTACAAATATTACTTTTCTGAACTTTAGAAACATGAAAGGTGGTGCGAAAGCAGATAAGTTTATTACCAAAACATACCTGTAAGATCCTCCATATTAGGTGGCTTCATGTCAATAATATTGAAACACTGATCACTGATCTCAAGGTTCCACAGGTTTACCCTGAAGTCATCTGCAGATAGAAATGTCTCACCATCACTGTAGACATTAGAAAACCACTTTTAGTTTGGGTGTTCAACTATCCTTTCTAACAAGTTGTTTTCAAATTATAGTACACACTGCTTAAAAGCATAATAGTGATGTATTGCTTTCTGTCTTGCCTATTAAGACTGACAAGGATAGTCTAGTTTTTCAAGATTCTCTTTTGAAGAAGTACTAAATTATGCGGAACAACTAGATCAGGCAATAAAGTTTTTAGGAAAACCATGACATTTGCAAACCACAATGGAATCCACAAAACTTGCTTTCTTTTTAATTGAAAAAGACTTAAAAAAGAAAGTCAAAGCTCATAATTGAAATTTAGCCCAGAAGGTACCTATTGTTTGAGATAGAGTTGATATTGAAATCATGAGCATGAGCATATGCCTTTCTACATCTTGCTGGTGGACTATCTTCAAATTTTGGCACCTATTCAAATTACAGATTGGCATTAAACAGCTTTTAATGGAGGAAACAGGTGGAAGGTTATCTTAAATGAAGAACTTAAAAAGTCCATGATAAATACCTTGGTATGGCTGACACTAGAATATGCGCCATTGAAAGTTTTGTCTGCCCATTCTACACCATTAGAAAGGGGTGTTGTTTCTGGAATGCTAGAAAAACTCTTCTCAGCCAAAAGGGAATTTTCTGAAGCAACAAAAGGATCAAGATCCATTTCTTTAACTTTCTTGACTTTACTTTCCTTGACCTGGCTATGTACGAGACAAGTTGGAACACATGAAATAGAAGAATACTTACTCAAAAACACGGAAAAGCATAAGCTGGAGAAAAGAACTAGTTATTTGCATTTCAAATTATTTTTCTTCAGTGTGAACCAGAACCAAATTTATTTAGCAACAAAGTCATTTCATGCTCAGCTAGGTTCATCTAGTTGAAACAATATCCGAAACTTCCACCTGTAGTTAAAAATAAATAAATCAGGTAACCAGTAAGTGTTAGGATTATCCTC